GAGATGTTTTCTCCGGGATATTTTGCCCATGGGAATCCAGGAAGAGAACCCAATGACTTTTGAATGTCTCCAGCACCGAAATACGTTTTAGGAGGATGGACATTTATTAAAGACATATTTGTTCAATAAACACCATATATTTTTAATACGAAAGATTTAATACAAGGAGGAAATTTGTTGTTTGAGACAAAATTGGCCACTTTGGGGATGAGAGATGTCAGCGCAGAGAAGAAACCGTCTCCTTCGAATTTTTTTTTTCGTTTTTTAAAATAAAAGACATTTTTAATGCGGTTATTTTATACTGTATTATTTTTTAGTGATTCTTGTCTGTGGTTTGGGGTAATTTATAATACAGTTTGGAGGAATCTGTTATGATATATTTTTTTAACAGTTTGGGAAGTCTGTTATAATACATTTTTTAACAGTTTGGGGAAAGTCTGTTATAATACATTTTAACAGTTGTGTCTTTTCGGATATGACGCATTGAAAAAGCTGCGCAGAAGTGAAATGCGTCATATCCGAAAAGACATATACCTCCCACCTCAAAAACCGGATCAAACTGGATGCGCTATATCAGAAAACTCATACACTACACATTACCGTTCAATATTTGACAACAAATTATTGATCTATGTGATGGTTGCGCCTGTTTTTAAGGGATAAGTTTTGTAATCAGCCCCGTGGCCAGAGGAGAATTGGTGCTGGGGCCCGAATTTTATGTCAAGGCGCCCGGGCGGTGTTCGACCCCTTGAAAAGTCAAAAGCGCGTTTAGGGACTCTCCTTCAAGAATTTTCTTTTGGGGCAGGCGCAGGCGCAGGCCCTCCGTAAAAACGCCACAGAATAGACCTGTAGTTTGAGTTTGAAAAAACTCTATGAACCACAAAGGTCTGCTGCTATTAGGCGAAAAAAGCGTCTTAGTACCAAATCGAAATCAATTATGGAGTCAATGCATTTATCCTATTCGAATAGATATATTGAAATTCGATTCTGAAGCGTCGTTACTCTTATAACTTCCGCTTTAGTAATGGCGTCTAAAATGTTTACTCTGTTTCTAGGATAAAAATATATGGCACCCTTCTTATATTGAATTATTTTGACGTGTCATCAATATACAGTATGACAGTCATTCAAGACATTTCAGTCAGGATGTATAACCCCCAAAAACAGCAATTGGGACATAAAAAATTAATATTTCTCAATTCTTTTTTTATGTCAGCTGGTTAGCCGCCATCTTGAAAAATATTCAGTTTTATTAAATATTATCCTGCATACAAAATCTGTTTCGCTTTGTGACTTCATATTGATTGATGGTAATCGAATTAGATTTAACAGCGTACATTTTAAGCGTAAAAATGCCTTAGGTCACTCGACTACTGGAAACATGCTCTTTCAATAATAACCTTATTTTATGGATCATCGAATTATACAGGGATTCTGTCGTGTAGTTATGACACCAGTTAAGTCAACTGATGTATTTATACTCTTTGAGTGTAGTTTTGCGAAATTTAAAATTGATGTTGATTCTAAGAGGTAGTGTCCTTTTAAAGTAGGGAGTTGGGAGATAGGTAACAGGTTCTTCCAATTCTCTGGATATTACGATGAATTTGGCGGCAAATAGATGTAACATACGGTAACTTGCACAGCTTATACCTGCAGTTGTGTGATGCAGTCGTGAATTAGTTCTTTGAATTGTATAGAATTGACACCAGTAAAGGATTTAACACCATCAATCTAAAATATATTTCCTTAACTTTACAGGATCTTACAACTTTGTCCCGGAAATAACACAATATCGTGTGTTGATTTTGTGCGATCTTACATATTGATTTAACGAGTATGGATTATAAATTGCGGAGAACAAAGGAGATATTTCAGCATAAACTTGATTGTCTCAAATTTGAATTTCTAAAGCAGACTCTTATCTACCAAGTAAGTATATGAATACCTTTCGAATTTTATAGAATCCAAATAGACTGATTGGCATGTTAATTTGACAGTTAGCCAATTGTTCCCAATAGTTCACAGAACACATTTAAATTATCGTCATGCCAAGTAGTATTGCACTGTCTAGTAAGTCACCATAATAACCTGGAGCAATGTGTTATTTGTGGTCAATCTGACATGTAATGATCTTCACAATGTCAAGGTATTACGAAATTATTATAATACCTTAATATCATTAGGTTATTTTAGTTATGTGATTTGATTGGTTTGTACGCAAGCGAGTATAGCCAATCGGGGCCATCGACGAAAAGACTGTAAATATTGTACCTTTTTGTTTAAAGACCTTTCTGTCGAGAGCTCTGATCAACTGTATTCGCTAGCGTAGAATAGTGGTATAAGACGAATTTCGTGAAAGCTTGACATTGTAAAGATGGTAATTTTCTGTTTTCGTTTTTTGAATTTAAGAATGAAAATTGGTTTGATATTACTCGTTGCTGTTATAACGATGATGTGTCAAGAAGCCGAATTAAGGAAGATAAAGTACAAGTATAAGGATGGCGACACAAAGATTAAAATTAAAATTAAAGATGGGAAAGGCTGGTGGGGTAAACGAGATGCTGATATCGATACTGCCAACGATATTCTGGAGAGGGAGGTTTTGAGCTCTAGAAGGTATGGTGTTAGTAGAAGATGGTGGGGTGGGTGGAGCAGAATGTGGGTGAAAAAGAGATGGTCGGGTAAGCGAGACGTCAGAGATGTTGATTTCGATAATGCCGACGGCATGCAGGAGAGGGAGGTTTTGAGCCCAAGAAGTTATGGTTATAGTA